AAAATTCTCCACCTGTGTTCTGTTTTCGTGACTATGGTAGTACAGTTATTTCAAGATGTAATTTCTGTAACTGTGGTGTGTAAAGCCTGTGTGTAAAGCCTGTTTCTTTCTGTGGTTATTTTTGTGGTTTCTACTGATTGACATTCCTGTGTGTTTGTTTCCTCATGTCTCCAGGTTCACCTTTGTATCTATATTTATTATTTTTCCTTTTCTGAAGTAAACTTGCATGTAGTAAAATGTAGCCATCTCTTCCGCTGCAGTCCTGGGAACCCAACCCAGAGCCTCGTGTGTGTTAGGCAAGCATTCTACAGCTAGGTGGTATCTCAGCTCTTAGTATGTTCATTTGCATATTTGTTATTGTTGTTCTCTTGGCACAGGGTCTCGTTATGTAGCTATGGCTGTCCTGAAAATTGCAATGTAGAGCAGGCTGGCCTGGAACTCACAGAGATCCACCTGCCTCTGCCTCCCAAATTCTGGGATAATAGGTGTACTGGCTTTAATGTGGTCATCTCAAGTATACGATTAAGTGAATTTTTAATAAATGTGTTCTCTGAGATAGCCCACATTACTAACAAGTAATAGAATTTCCCCCTTTTTATTTTAAAATATTTATCATATCTTTGTTTATGCTCATGTGTGTGTGTTTGTGTGTGTGTGTGTGCGCACGCGCGTGCGAATGTATGTATGTGTGTACACAAGCTCGAAGTGTCCGTGGAGGCCAGGAGAGGACATCAGATGTCTCAGAGTTGGAGTTACAGGCAGGTGCAGCATCCTGGTGTGGGTGCTGGGAACTGAACCCAGGTCTTCTGTGAGAGCAGCAAGTGTTTTTTCTGGGCCATCTTTCCAGCCCCTGGAAAAAATTTATCACCCTATAGTTCTGTTTTATACTCTTCCTTCTCTGTTAATCTGTGACTTCAGTCCCCAGATCACTGATTCTATTTTCTCTCTGTGGATGCTCTGTCTGCTTGAAGACAGAATCTTTTGGGAACCATTAAGTGTGTGTCATCCGTGTAGACTCTTTCCATCAGCTCCAAGCGTTTGTGATTCATCTCCTGTGCCGTGCGCTTCAGCAGGTTGTTCCTTTTAATTAAAATAAGAATTCGGTTTCATGAATCCACTTCAGCCTGTTTCTCCTCTTTCCTGTCTGTGGACATGGTAATTTTCAGCTGTTTGGCTGCTATGAATCACGTTTCTATGACTGTCCCTGGATGAGTTTCCTTAAAGACCTGTTTATCTTCTTTGAAGAAGTAGACAAGTGTGAAATGAGAGTCATTGGTTAGTTGCAAGTTAGTTTATCTTTAAAATCTACTTTCTAAAGTAATTTTCTGCACTCGTTCACACACTGAGGACCTGTGTGTGAGGTTTCAGGGGTGTCATGAAACATCATGGCCACCAGAGCCTCAGGAAGCTGTTGCCTCACTGGCATGTGGGCTGTAGTGAGGCGTAGCTGTGATTTTTTACTCATTTGCTGACAAATGGTGTTGAGGATTTTTATATGGGTCTAGCATGTACTTGTAACATGAATAGTAAAAACCCAGAGATTAATATTGGGGCTCAAGCTTCAAGCTGATGGTCAGAGAAGCAAAGCAGCCAGCCACTAGCTCTTGCCTCTACCTCAGGCTGAAAGGGCTGTCCTCTCCTCAGCGTGGCTGGAGAATAAACCTCTAAGACTGACTTTGCTCCTTCCTTTTATACCTCTCAAATCCTGAGATTAAAGGTGTGTGGTCCCAAGTGCTGAGATCACCTTCCTGTGAGCTGCTTCTCTTTAGGACTGGATCAATTTCATGTAGCTCAGTGTGGCCTTGAGCTAACAGATCTGTCTGCCTGTCTCCTGAGTCCTGGGATTAAAGGTGTGTGCCACCACTGCCTGGCTCTGTGGCTTGTGGCTAGCTTTGCTTTCTATACCCTCAGTTAAGCTTTAATAAATCATAAATAACATATCACCGCATCTACTCACCTGCCTTCACCTGTCAAATGCCTACTCAAGTCTGTTTTCAACATTTTAACTGGTTTGTCCCCTTATATTACTGAGATGTGGGTTTTGTGGCAGTGTGTGTATGTGTGTGTGTGTGTGTGTGTGTGTGTGATCTAGATAGAAGTTCACTTTCAGATGTGTGCACTATGAATGTTCTCCAGTAGTTTGTGGGTTTGCCCATGGGTTTAATTAGCTGATTCTTTTTTTTATTGAGCTAAAGAAATAATATTATCTGGGTCTAGGGAGGTATCTCAGTGGTTAAGAGCACAGGCCGCTCTTCCGGAGAACCTGAAATAAATAAAATAAAATAAATAATTATTTAAAAAGATATAACCAGATTTCCTTCTTTAACATTTGAAGAATGCAGGTTCATACTCTTAAGTATATTCAATTTGGTGTGTAATGGGACTCTAGAACTTTCCAAATATATGAACTTTAGTCCTCTCCCTGACTTCTGCTTTCCTTTGGTTTGGAACAAGTTTTACTTTAGTCCAGGTTGGTCTTGGAGCTCACCATGCAGTCTATTCATCCTGGAACGTGTGACAATCCCCCTGCCTCAATCTCCTGGATACTGAAATTACAGTTGGATGCTGCTAAGGCCAGCTGTCTTCTCTGTGGAGACAGACCTGTACAGGACATGGAGTGACAATTTTATACATCCACACAATGTTTCGTGGTCAAGTTGGGGTGACAGACACTTCCGTCTTATTTTATGTGCTGTTAACTATAGCCTTCAAGTTGTTTTGAAACTTGCCCTAGATTGCCATAGCCTATGGTTGCTTATTGTGCCACAGAAGACCAAGACTTAGTCTCTGAAAATGTCTTGATGTCCCCTAACTTCTCTTTATTTCCAGTCTCCCCATTCCTAGTCCCTGGTGACCATTTTTCTTTTATATTTAACATTTGTGTTTAGAGTAGTACATATGTATGTGCCTCTGCTTCCTGACTGGACAAGATGTGACCTGCTGCCTGCAGTCCCTGCCGCCGTGACTTACAATGGACTGCACCCTGGAACTGTGAGCCGAAACAAACCTTTCTCCCTTAAGTTGCCTTCATCCTGGTGTTTTAACCAGGCAACAGGAAAAGCAGCTAAAATAATCCCCAACGTTGTTGGAATCTGCAGTGTTTACCAGCTGACTGACTTCATGGTGTCCTCCAGGCTCCTGCTGTAGCTTGTGACAAGGTTTCTTTCCTCTTTGAGGATCTTAGAAATGCCGTTCCGTATAGATACCACATTTCCTTTAACTGTTCGGTTGTCGCTTCCCAGTCTTGGCTATCGTGAAGGTGAGGCGGTACGGTGAATGGCCATTGTTGTTTGACACCTGCCTTCAGCCCCTGTGCTGTCACCAGAAGTGCGACTGACGATCATACGGTGATCTTCTTGACAAAACCGAGTCTGTCGCATTTTGTCTCCCTATAAACACAGCATGAGGGTTTCAGCTTTTCCATGTCCTCACTGTTTTCTGTTCTTTTAAAAATCATTTTTGGGACCTTCATTTTGACAGCACGATTTATTTCCTGCTCTTTTAACAGCAGCTGCCCTGAGGACCCCTGTGAGACGGCACTGCATAGCGGCTTTGGTTTGCATTTCTCTGCATTTCCCCAGAAACATCTGCTCAAATGATACTTTGGTGGAGAGGGAAGGTGGCAGGGAAATCAAATCAAAACTACCATTAGTGACCACTTCAGCAACAATAGCTATTAACAAAAGGACTTAACATAACAAGCCCCTGCCCCCCCGCGTGAAAAGGAAACCCTGTAGTCTACTGGTGTAAATGTAAACTTCAGCAGCGATTATGAAAAGGATGAAAGCCCCTAAAATGAAAACAGTTGTCACATGATCCAAACTTACAAAGAAATCTACTCCCATGCTTACGGCAGCTCTGTTCACAGTAGTCAGCCACAACTTGACTTCGTAGCAGAAAACGACCCCGGGGTTACAATCCTCCTGTCTTCCTGTCCTCCTGGGGTTAAAGGAAGGCTGTCACTCCCAGCCTTCCTTTGCCCACTTTTAAATTGCGTTATTTGTTGTTATTGTTGAGTTGTAGAAACTTCTTTTACGTTCTGGATCTCGACTTTTACCAGATATAATTTATGAGCATTTTCTCCCACTTGCTCTACCCAACCCAGCTACCAAATGTAGCTGCCTTTTGTCGGAATGTACCTCTCTGGGATTGGGCGTTTAATCTAATTGAGAAATGTTAACGGGTTTCTGTTTAGGAATATGCAGAAACGGCTCTGGGCTGTAGTAAGATGATGCTGGAGTGCCACCTAGTGTGCACACCTGGTAATCCACACACTTGGTAATCCACACTGCCCCATTGGATCAGCCCGATTTTTCAGCAGCCGGGTGTGGATGGGACTGAAGTGAGCCCTTTGCCAGTTTTTCTCTGTATCTGGATGTTGGCCATTTGTTCTCTTTTCCTTCAGCCTGAAGGAAACAGGAGTTTGAAATTTCCTCCCAACCGCTCTGCACATGGAGGGAGCTTAGTGTCATTCAAGAGGGGAAAGCTACAGATTTCTACCCAATTTCAATATGGCTCACTTCACAATGACTAGGGGTACAAAAAGCTCTTAGCTGGTTTCTAGCTTTTTCTAGGGCCAGTTGGTCTGTGAATTATTAAATTTATACTCCCCTCCATAAGAGGGGGAAGATCCAAGACTTGCTCCTCTACCATTTTGTTGACACTGTCTCCCTCTCTCAGGTGGGGTTTCTTATGATGCCTTTGGCATCAGTGAAGGTATGCTTAGTTTGATAAACATTTAGTTGAAGGGCCTTTCAGTAAATTCCACTAGTCAATTACAGATAAGACAGAAGAGGAGGAGGAGGATCTTTTGTGGTTTGTACGGAGGTTTGAGTGAGAAAGGCCATAGGCTCACAGATTTGAATGCTTGGTTCCCAGTTGGTAGAGCTGTAGGAAGGATTGGAAGGTGTGCCACTTGGGACAGGCTTCGGGTTTCAAAAGAGCCATTCCCAGTGTCTCCCGCTGCCTGGAGCTTATGACTCAACATGTAAGCACTTGGTTATCTCGTCTGTCGCCGGCTGCCAGGCTCCCCGCCATGATGGTTGCAGAGTTCAACCCTCAGAGATGGCCACCATGATGGAACGGTGACAAAGACAATTGGTGTCCCTGTCCCCTCCAGGAAACCGCTTATCACGTGAGTGTGGGTCTATCTTAGGACTCTAATTTTCCATTTTCCAATCCGCCCTCTGAGGCCACACCTTTATTTTTGAGGCTAGTCCAGGGAGGCCTTGAATTGTTCTCTCCTTCCCGGGCTCCTGAGTGGCTGGGTCAGAGGCTCACACCACCAGACTTGGCCGCATGTCGCCTTGATTGGTGTGAGTTTACGAGAAAATCTGGAGTGGGGTAGACGTCTTCTTTTACTCTCGAAGGGTGTCTCTGGCTGTTCTAACTCTTTAGTTTCCATACGGAGTTTTGCATTGGGTGGACAGTGCTAAGACTGTAATTGGGATGGCAGTTAAATATCCATGGTGGTGGGTAGGGTCCTCTGGTCAGTACATCTGCTGCATAACCTCCATTTCAGAAGGTAAACAAAGGTGTCCAGTTTCTCAGGATAAAGAGGTCACACATACCTTTGTTTGTTCTCCAGATTTTTGCTGTAAATGACAATTAAGGGTTCATTTTTCTAGTGTTTCTGTCACATAAAAATGGAGTGGTTCATGGGTGGGGAGGAGCAGTACAGTATAAGGCCCAGGTTCAGGACTCAGAATTGCAAAACATGGATAAAATAAAGTATTCCCATTTCTATATACTGCTCCTGCATCTTGAGACCCTTTTAAATCCACTTATTAATTAAAGTAGTTCTTCTGGAAGACCCTAGGATTTTCTACAAACACAATCATGACATTTATTTTTCAATCTGTTTTACTTTGATTTCTCTTACTTCCTATTGTAACAAACTATAGAAATGATCCCTGAAAGTATAGTCTTTCTTACTTCCTATTATATTGACTACAAATTACATGCAATGTTGAATGATAGTTGCAGCGAGCATCCTTGTCCCGTGGGGTGTTATGCATGTGTGCATGCTTGTGTGCATGTGTGTGTGCGTGTACATGTGTATGTGTCTCTGTATGTATTAACTGTGTGTATGTGTCTCTTTGTATCCCTGTGTGTGTGTATGTGTGTATCTCTGTGTGTGTATGGCTATGTACTTGTGTGTGTGTCTGTGTTTCTATGTATGTGTGTCTGTTGTATGTGTCTATATTAGTGTGTCTGTGTGTGTCTATGTGCCTGTGCATATCTGTATGTTTCTATGTTTCTGTGTGTGTGTGTGTCTGTGTTAGTATGTCTGTGTGTTTCTATGTTTCTGTGTGTGTCTGTGTTAGTGTGTCTGTGTTTCTTTGTGTCTGTGTGTGTCTCTGTGTCTGTTTGTGTTTGTGTGTGTGTGTGTGTGTGTGTATTGCCTGCTGCAGACTCACTGCAATCTCCCTGAGTGCTAGCAGTATAGAAACAAGCTATTATCCAAGGCTCTTACTTCTGACTTTGATGTTAGGACCATACTGGCTTCATGAGTTAAGGTGCCTGAGTTCTGTTCGGTCTGGGTTACCTGAGACCCCACTGCAAAGTGAAAATTAAGCTATTCTGACTTTTCCCTATTGTTTTCAAGGTTGTTTTAAGTTTTATCTGAAAGAGTAGAAACTTAGAACATGAGACACATACCCGGGGAGGGCATACCCTCTGGCCTCCATCAGGATGCTGGAGTGCAGGGCCGAGCGTTTCCAGGCCTGAGCTGATAAACAAGATTGCTGCAATCTTAGTTCCATCCAGCTCATCGCTCATTTCAAGTAATTTGAGGACAGGATGAGAACCTTTTCCTCAGCGGGTACCAGTAGATTCTAGAAATTTCTCTGTGCTTTGCAGTCTGTCTTGTATCTTTATGAGCTGAGAGTGTATGTTTCTTGCCTACATTGTCACTTCTGCTCCCTGAAGGAATTTTCAAAACTATGATTTTTATCAGTGTTCCAGGCAGCACACAACATTATACAGGGAGCAATGCTCTCTTGGGATTCTCCGCCTCCTGAGTGGGAGCAGACACCCCCAGGTGTTTTTTCATTATGTTCAAGGCTTGCACTTGTGGATCTGTTTGTAGGAATAATTGATGCTTAGGATGATGTCATTTTCTTCAGAAGAAAACAGTCATTTGCTTATTTGGAGTCTAGCAAGCCTAGGTGCTGGCAGTCTGGAAAAACTGAATCCACTTTCAGAAACTGAGCTTTTGATGGCTTGAACTGGGCCCACTGTGTACAGGGAGAAGAAAACTTGACCTTGGGCACAGTGCAATTATCCTGGTGAGGGGAGTCACTATCTTAGCCATTTCAGGTTCTGTCTTTTATGCACTGGTTCTGAGGGGCCATCCAAGCACATGACCTGTCCCTCAGCTTCCTTCGCATTGGTACCTACAGCCAGGGCCAAAGTGGTCCAGGTGTCAGTACACCTGTCACCATGCCTGTTTTCTTCCAGATGTTGACCCATTGTCTCATATGACATTTTTAGTAACCCTGTGCTTCCAAGCAGGTGTCAATCTTTTGTCTGGTTCTCTAATGGAGAGTGAGTCTAGATTCCCCAAACTTTACACAGGAACTGCCACCTCTCATTTATTCTCTGTGTATACAATATTTTTTGTTTGGTTGTTTTTTTTTCAAAAACAGAGCTTCTCTGTGTAATATCCCTGACTGTCCTGAAGCTCACTCTATAGATCAGACTATCCCAAACACCTGCTTCTGCCTCCCAAGTGCTGGGATTAAAGGTGTGGCCACAGTGGACGATGTTTTTATGCTGTGCTACTTTCTCTGTTTTGGTCGACATTTTCTTTGATCTCTCCTGTCTTTGTTTATCCTCTTATCTTTTAACTATGCAGAAAAAAATTTCTGGCAGAGCACAATGTTTTTCGTCTATAGTCTCTGTTAACTAAGGACAGGAAGATCACTTGAGCCCAGGAGGTCATAGCTGTTGACATCTCCTAAGTTGTGTGGAATGTGAGTGCATCCATTTCTTTGGTACTTCCCAGGTTTTACCAAAGCGAATTTCAATGCCACAAAAATCGCAATTCTAGGTTTTTCAGTTTTTGGTGGTGAATAAGCACATAAAAATATATTTGATAGTGGAAGTATAAAATCCAGGGTAACGCTCCATAACTTGAAAATGGCTGTTCTAGTGGCATAGAAGTTCACTGAGACATATAGACACTTTGGGTGTAGTTAATTTGGTGTGTGATATATTTTTATTTGCAGGTTTATCTAACAAAGTTTACAAAAACATAAAAATCACAGTTATTTCATTTGCATAATTTTGACTTAGTTATTATTTGCTCTTGTGGGCTGGAGATGGTTGAGACAAGTTTCATGTAACTGGTGTTCTCAAACTCACTATACGGCCAAGTCTGGCCTTGGAGTCCCTACCCGACTGTCTCCACCATTTAAGCTCTGCGATCCCAATCACGCATGCGCACCAATGGGTCTTTGCTTTTTCTTTTAAGCCTTTTTTTCCCTCTTGAGTTCCTTATTTTGATTCATTTCTCGGCTGGCAGGAATATTCCCTCGATTAAATTGTTCAAAGAGTTTTTAAGAAAGAGCTCTCTGGTCTCCTAGTAGGATTTAGTAACATCCAACATCAGTTTGTAACCCTGTTGGTTAAAAATCCACCCTCTAGTCGGGCGGTGGTGGCGCAGCACTCGGGAGGCAGAGGCCGGTGGGTCTCTGTGAGCTCGAGGCCAGCCTGGTCTACAAAGCAACTTCCAGGATAGCCTCCAAAGCAATACAGAGAAACCCTGTCTTGAAAAACCAAAACCAAGCCTAACTAAATCAAACCAAAAAATCCACCCTCTGCAGATGCTCTTTCCTGAACAGCTGGCACAATGTCAAATCCTGTCAGCAGAGGGCGCTAGAGGGCCGAGTACGAAAAGGCTTTCCTTCAATTAGTTCCTAGATCAAGGTCAGGAGGCGAGCTGAGGGGCAATGCTAGGCCTTTCTACTCCACTTTCCATTAGAAAGAGATGGTGGCATCTCTCCGCTACTAACGCCTCTGAGCCCGGCACCGGGTTCTGAAATCCACACAGAGTGGGGATCCTGCGGAATTACAGTGTGCTTGAAGGGAACTTAGAGACTCGAAGTTGCTGCAGATGGGCACAACGTCAGAGAAATGCCCTCAGTGTTCATGAAAAACGTCTCACTCTCTTTGTCTTCTACCGCATGTACCAGCCCGTTGTTCTGCATCACTTAGCTAGTCCCGTTGTCACGTTTCGTCTGTGGTGTATGTCATAGACGCTTCTGACCATCACGTGGCCACTGCCTTGCCTGGACTGGGCCCTGACCCCCTAAACTAGGATAGTAGATACCTACATTCTTCCTTCCCCACCCTGTCCAGTGAGGGTGCCTCTCTCCGCTCTGCTTGCTCCTGTTACCTGTGCACACCTTAAATTGTTTTTCTCTCGCTCAACTCAGGCAGCCTTGACAGAACCTGATTCGCAGCCTCAGGGGAAACACGTTTGCACGGATGTGTCGCTCTCTATTGGTACAGGAGGGGCGGCTAATGAAGCTGTTGGGAACTGAAGCAGCCTTTCACCTCAGCTTCAGACAAATCCGTTGGATGCCTGTTAGGACGGCACCAGTGTTAGGATAAAGCTCGAAGGAGAACCTTGGGTGAGGGACCATGGCGGATCCCACGGCAGGTGAGGGTGATGGAGGCGGAGAGACAAACATCTCTGCGCGTTGAGGCCAGACTGGTCTACAGAGCAAGTTCTGGGACAGTCACAGCTATTACACAGAGAATTCCCATCTCAAAAAAACCAAAAGAAGAAGGAAGAGGAGGGAAGGAAGAAAGGAAGGAAGGGAGGGAGGAAGGAAGGAAGGGAAGGAGGGAGGGAGGGAGGGAGGGAGGAAGAAAGGACACTGACAATACCCTTGAGCCTTCTCTCTCACACAAATGTGCGCACACATGCTCATACACATGCATCCATGCACACATATACAGGATAGGAAGAAAGGAAAGAGGAGAGAAAGGGACAAAGGGACAGAGGGAGGGAGCCAAGCAAGAAGAGGGGGGCGGCTTTGCCAGAGTCAGCCCGTCAAGGACCCTTGAAGCAGCCTTCATGGCAGTCATGGCTCATCTTGAGGAAGAGCGTGCCCACCCTGTGTG